CTTTGTTCATAAATCCTACACAAAGACCAAAAAAAAGAAATAAAACACGGTACTCACGCTTAATATCGATGATTGCTCTTCAGATGTCTCTGCCAACTTTGTTCCGGAGCAAAAATGCGAAAAAAACGTGCAAATATAGCAAATTTGGTACGAGAAGAAAGCTCAAGAAGCGAATAATCGTTTTGTCTTTGTCACGAAACACACATACTAGCTCCCAGGCTTAAATGGGCCAATAAAACTACAGGCATACCAGCTTCGGAATGAATGAACTCCGGCCGAGCTCAATTCTGTCCTTAAAAGACTGGGATCTAGTGGACATTGGGTGGCTGATAAAGAGGTATTAATTTCCCAGCGTGATATGGCCAGTACAGTAACAAACTTAAAGCACATGAACAAACAATAAAGATCAAAACATGAGCACATTACTAGAACTTTCTGAACCGGCCCCTCGGTGTCTCACTATTTTGGATTCATAGAGAAGACTGGAAGTTTTTGCTGCAAAAACACTGGGCGGTTCTAAGGAGGAGCCGACGGGTTCCTGGGAGAAATATACATGTTTTTATGTCCCAGGCAGCTGTAAGTCACAACTGGTTGCCAGCGAGAAATTCAGGAATGAAAAGAACTCTACAGGCAAGAAATAATTTTTGCCAGGAAAATATAAATTTTCTACCTAAAAAAAATCGTATAAGCCGTTTTTGACCATAAAAAGTTGTATCAGCCTGTTTTGACCTTAAAAACGTTTGCCAGGAACAAATTCATTTTAAAGAAGAAATGGCACCACATTTTATTGGGAGATTGTCAACAATACATAGCTCAAACTCCCTTTCCAAGGAAAAAATTTGTACAAAGTTATTTAGAAGAACAGATGGCTCCTCCTGGATTCTCTTCATCAGGTCTCCACTATTTGATATAACCTATAGTTTCTATATGATACTTACTTGGTTGGCAGCCAGGTGGAGGCACGTAACCAGGCACTTCTCTAGGCTGTGGGTTTGTCGGTGGGTTTGTTGGTATTACTGGTGGTTTTGGTGTTGTGGTTATGTTGAGAGTGTGGTTGTGGTGGGCAAGGGTAATGTTTTTCGCTAGGGTGTGAGTCATGTTAACGTGTTGTGATACGTTATGTGTGTGGTTTATCACCGGAGTTTCTAAAACATCACAAGAAAGACAACCACAGTGTTAGAATTATACATTTACTGTTGGGGATTCTGCAATGATACGGATTTCGTCTGGGGAGATCGAGAGGGGTGCGCTTAAAGTGCAACTGAACCCTATTTACAAAGGATTTTTTCAAATTTTCTAGATTTGTTTAAACAACATTCAAAAAGAATTTTCGATTTGGTGAAATTCGCGATTTTTAAAGAATTTTTAAAAATAATAAATTGCAGCAATATTACTGACACTTTCAAAAAACCGCGGTTTCACTTAGAGGCCTGGATCGAGCCTATTGTGACGTATTGTGACCTTTTCTTAATTAAGTAAATTTTAGCTTCATGATTATCAAAATCCAATAATTGGTTTGTGCTCGTCTTGAGTTGCATCTTTAAGTTTGAATTCAACCTAAATTGGAATTTAGTTATTTTGTAAGCGCGTGTTCGACTGCCTAAAGGCTAGATGTTGCACTACTTCTGATCGGTCACGTGAAGACCCTGTAGAGGCCACAAATATAATAACTGGACTCAAATGTAATAACCACTGGCCACAAACACATGACATGTAAAAATTTGATTACATATTACATGTATGTAGCAGCTTGACTCAGATCTAATAACCTATGGCCTCAAAAGTAATAAGAATTTTGTCAAAAATGTGACATGGCCTTACGTCATAACCACATTTGCTACCAATGGGAATGTAATTTGTGTTCATTTGTTTAATGGTTATGTACAGTTGCTGCCAGTCATTATATTTGTGAACAATGATTGCTACATTTGTGATCAGTTATTCCATTTGTGGCCAGTGATTATTACAATTGAGGACAATAACATTTGTGGCCAGTTATTGCATCTATAGTCATGACAGACCCAAGATTATTATTTAAGACGCTTGTAATGGTTTACCATGTATTTCGTATATAAAGTTGGTATAATCTCTTCCGACGCAGTCCTCCTCGGCTGCGGTGCAGTGAGCCAAGTCATGAGTGACGCATTGGTCCGATTCTCCATTCTGAAAATATGTTTCATTAGCTTTAGGACCAGACCAGCATTCGCCTATTAAAATAAGATACAGATCAAATTCTAAGAGTATTTATTCTGATCAATACGTTAATAATCTTTTTGTCGAAACTTACCGTAGAACTGCAAGCCAAACACTTTATACCCTTTCGCCCTTGATTCTTCTGCACAGCGGCATCGCAAGTCTTCCATATATAGATTCCAGTTCTTTAAATCTATGAAGCCTCCAGTATAAGCAGGACTTGTGGAATCACGGTCGGTGAAAACTAACTCAGGTAGGGGACGGGAGGGTAAAACAGAATCTTTGTAACATCCAAGTCTCTCCGTGTATACATTGCATTCTAAAAGGTAARGCAAAGTAAAAAGCTAAATGCTACTACGTGTCTAAACCGTTTATATCACTACTGCTTTGCTCAGTGCTCTGCTCTGCTATTTTTGACTTACTTTTATAAGAGTCCGTTCCGTTCAAAGATTCCGTTCCGTTCAAAGAGTCCGTTCCGTTCAACGACTTGACCACATCGACTGTCAGCAAACCAACGATACAAATCAAGAACTTAATTCTCAGAAGATTGCCTGCCATGTTGACCAAACCTACGTACATCATTACACAAATTGTATTTATCTTTATTTAGATTAAACTGTACTTTACAAAACAAGATATTCTGACAACTACTTTTAAGTAGTTTAAGAACTTGTTGAGTAACTGATTTAGTATTTAGCAAGTGTCTGAAATTTTTGCGTTAATTTATAGAAATTCAAAAAGGGGCTGTTGATAAGTCACAAGTTACAAGCAGTTTCAAACAATGATCAACAAACGGATCTGATGACAAGAAAAAGTATTCGGATGAATGATTACAGAGTGAAAACTTTAATCAACAAATACTATTTCGCAATTGTCTATATTATTGTATTATTGTATTGTCTTGAAAGCTAGCATTTTAAAAGGCCTTTTTATCCTTTTCAAAATATGGGGGGTGGTTGTCGTCTTMATATTTAARCATARCAAAYGRACTTTGGATAGTTGATCATGGTCAGTGTTGAGTGGAGATCTCATCCATGGAATTAAATTTTGTTGAAGAAGGCTGGTCACGTGATTAGCCCTAGGTTCCTAGTGCCAAGCCCGAATCTATTCCTTGCACGAGTCTAACCCTAATCCAAATCTTAACCCTTAGCATTATCATATTGTTAAGCCTAACACAAATTTTAAAGATAGGCTAATGGCGGAAAAACATTGGCCACGTGAACTTCATTTTTGAATTTAACTAAAAAACACGCACACACACAAATGTATGGAACTCTCATTCTCATTCGTTGTGAATTAAATACAGACTCAAACTTGAAGATAACACTAACTGTTAGGTCTTTCAGATGGCGTAGTTTAGTTTCTGAAAAGTGGACTAATTTCATGCTCGTTACAAGCCTTCYTTTTGATTTACGGAATGACAAAATAAAGCGAAAAATATAAATAAAATGAATAAAACAAATTTAATAACAACACAAACAAGACGTAGGAGTGCCAAGATAAAGATAAGTTATGGAATCAGTCTTTGACCTGAACACCAGGAACCATCATTGCACTTGGAAAAGTACCTCCCTTGATAATCATAATCTAATAAGCCCGACAAAAGGATTGAGATTAGAGATTGGAATATCTTACCTTTACTTCAGAGAAAACCTAGTAGAAAAATCCAATTTTMAATCTTCTATGAATTGGAGGCGGTGACTTTATTCACTTCTTTCGATGTTTGTATCAACTTTGACCCTCACAGACATCCCACCTTCATTTGACACAGTTTWAGTCCATATTATTGGGTCAAGAGATCATTGGAATACAACAAAACCTTTTATTATGATATACCTTCAATATGATGTTCGTGTATCTATTTTGCTGTYAACATTGCCTTTTACTAGTCGTTTTCAGAAAAAAAATGTTAAAAAGCTGAACTGTTGCCCAGAAGTCATGATCTTATTCGTCTTCCATTGTTTTGCTCTACCGATTTTTWTGGTAAGCGGCTTTTGCCTTTAGAGTATGCGAAGTCTAGAGTTGAAAAGATCTTCCAGGTCGCGTATCCACGCAGACATTGAACAGATAACTAAAAGATCAGGATTTTTTTCAAGTAGTAGTGTGTACTCGCAAAAAGATGATAGGAGATACCAAGATTTGCAGGGGAGGATCCAGGATCCAGGAGATGAAATTTGATTTTTAGAGCAAGAAAATTCTATCGAAAGAAACGAGATCTGGCATATCCCAATTATATAGAGCGGTACTTATTATACTAACACTATTAACAACGCATACTACTCCGTTATCAAGCAACATCATAAGCAAATTGTCGGAATTTTTTGGGAAATTGAGGAATTCTGAAGAAAAAAAATAATTTCCACAAAACTCAACATATTCCATGCACACTCTATTTCCTTGAAATCGATGCCATGCTGCATCCTCGGCAATATCCACTTGCAACATACACCTTACTATCAGACAATAAACCTTCTCCACAAAATAGCCTCAAACAAGGCCAAAAATAGCTCGACAAAGCTGTAACGGATCATACAGTATATGTTGTGTAATTGCTACTTTAGTYGGTATTGAATTTAGAGAACTATACACACGTTTTCCTGCTTTGATTTTGTTTTAATAGCATTTTGTTGTAGTACATGTTAAACTATTTAAATGTTCATTTTTAGAAATTCATCATACAGCTTTCTTCGCTATGGTTTKTTACATTCAAAGGTGTGTTTCACAAAAGTCCAACTTGATAAATATGTGAACATACGAGCACCGTCTGCCACCTTCTAGTTGGAGAAGCTGTATGYATCATTTTRWTGATATGGCTGGTTGTACGATGGGTGGGTCAGAGCGTTATCCAGCTGATRAAGTCATACAAAATCTATAGATTGGATARCTTTATCCCAATCTTCGCAYAACCGGCTACTGACTGATGGGTGCGATGAATTCTCATCGTTGTTCTTTCTTCCTCTCTAAATAGTATAATCTCATTTTCAAGTATATTTTAAGAAGCGATAATTCTTTAAGACCGCATACCAATTTGCACATTTGTATTTAAAGCAAAAATTGAGAGATAAGGCAAGCCAGGTCCTTGATAAATGTAGATCAATTGAGGGTTGTCCAACATACTCAATTACATTCCAATGCCGGAGTACTGAAGAATATTTGAAGCGGTTGGAATTATAAGGCACCCATAGATCMYCTCCTGGGCCTGGTTGCTCAAAGCGCGATTTAACGTGATTACTATAGGTTTTTATAAGAATTAGAGTGGACGCATGCATTTAGTGAAGTAAAACTTGGTTATTAAAGTGTGGCGGTCAAATAGACACAAAAATGCCGTGATTTTAATATCTATGCAACGGGCTTCACTCTAATCCGCAAAAATATTATTAATCGGTAATAAAAAGTGTTGGACAAACAATAGAAAACACAAAGGTTAATAAAACGAAAAGGATTACGAGAAGATTTATCATTTTACTAAGTGAATATTTCGGCCTTTATCCAAAGGCCATCGACTGCATACTGAACTATTAGAATTAGTTCAAAAGACTTAAGGGAATTGACTTTAAGGGACAGTCAATGATTCCCTTTAAGTCTTTTGAACTAATTTTAATTATTCATGTAAGTTCAGTATGCCATCGATGGCCTTTGGATAAAGGCCGAAATATTCACTTAGTAAAATGATAAATCTTCTCGTAATCCTTTTCGTTTTCAAACTATATGCCCAAAAGAATATATTTACAAAGGTTAATACTATTTTGTACTATTTACGTTTCACGGATTGAGTGAATCGAATCTAAACCAGGATTAGCGCTAATCGAGCTTTGAACAACCCGGCCCTGTTTTTGCACAACGTTCTTGAAATTATCTTTTCTAACTATAGCCATTATATAACTTTTCATTGACTGTTCTCAATATATTCTTACATCATGGAGCAATTCGCAAAGAGTTTCACGGAGTTTCGTAAGCAATTACCTATAAAATACGTGTTCAGCTATGATAATTCACTTCAAATTTCTAGTAAGTTGCAATTGCTTTCTGTACTTGTATAAATAGATTTGAGTAAAGCCTGTTTATTCTTTTCCGCAGTAGAATACACTTCTGCAATATTTTCATTGATTTTTCTGTTAACGTAAAATACTATTTACAGCTAAATAATAAGTTTGATATATTATATCAAGGTTGTAATAAGACTAGAGCTATATTTTAAGAGCTGTTTAGAGAGTAACAAAGTTGAACTGGCCTCTGGGATTTCCATAAGTTTATTTGATTGATTATAAAATATATTCTGCATTTCTTGTTAATCTTAAGCATTGCCTATATGCCTCGGAAACCGATCCGAAACTCCCTCTAATTATTTCATAACATATTTAATTAAAGCTGCAATTGCTTTTAATGTAATCAAAGTATCCATTAGACCTTCTGTAATCGAAGCAGAACCACTGAAGTTCTTTTGGAAGTAGGAAATTCTCTTCGCAAAACGTTTCTTCCACCTTCTTCATTTGTAATCAAAAGCTCAATCATTTTTTTGATGAGTGTCAATGAAGTTCGACTACATTTATTATGATTAACCATTAACAATGGCCTAAGAACTTCGTCCACCTTCCTTGAAATCATTATCAGAGATTAGAATCTTCGATCAGATGTTCTTTTCATTCTATTGAGTGGGTTTACCTCTGAAGCTTTCGCGCCATCTCCATCGTAAAGCTTTGAGTCTCTCCTCGGTTTTCTCAAAGTCGTGGAAGCCAAAGTTATCGAGAATATCGTACACACCAGCAGCGGAAGCGACCTGCGTCATCCATTCACTGAAGGTGCGTTGCCATTTTGTTCTTCGTTCCATTTGTAGATAAGTGTTAAATAGAATGAGGTAAAAATACCGTTCCAGGTAATAGAGACTGCGCTTGCGCAGATCCAACTTGTGATCGTTGTTGATTCCACAACCACTGCTGGCGTGTTTATACTGATAACAAGATAAATAAATATTCGTTACATTATCTTGTTTTGAGCTTTCACATTTTCACGAGATGAAATGCAAACGGGACTGCAAGCTCAAGTGGAAGAAAATAAAAACATCCGTGTTGCGTTACCGTTAAAGCTTACGTTGATGCAGTTCAAACGTAAGTTTCCTTACGTCAACATAAGGATTTGCCCTTACGCTGCCCGTGAAAACCAGATTTTATAGTGAGAGGAGTGCAAGCTCAAGTGGAAGAAAATAAAAACATCCTTGTTGCGTATCCTCTACAGTTTACGTTGATGCAATTTACACGTAATCTTTCTTACGTTAATGTAAGGATTTGCGCTTGTGCTGTTCGTGCAGGCCAGTCTTTATAGTAGTGTAAATTTCTACAAAAACTTACCTTTTGGAAAGTAGAAAAGATGACTTCTCTGGCATGGTAGTGCATGGGAGTCATGGTCTCTGATATCTTATCCAGTACGTTATCAACTTCTCGCTTCCTCTGAGGTCCGTTTGGTAGAACACGGATTAAATGCCGCACAACCTGAGTAACAACAGTAATATCCCRTGATGCTTTGAGTAGTTTTGAGAGCTGGCTACAGAGCGCCTACGTGATCTGTCTTTCATTGCATCTCGTATCATCAACAAGTTTCAAGAGACTTACGATAACAGTGGCGAGTGTGTGTTAGTATAWTTTGTCAGTCCGCTTTAGAGTATCAAAATTTTACAAATTGAGACATTTGTCCATGACATTTAATTAAATAGTTTGGATAGTATTGTTTTAGCAGATATTTTTTTCTGCTCGGATTTATGTTGACAGGCTGAGCACTTTCGCTTAACACTGATTGACTGCTTCCTTTTCAATGAATCAGCCAGATAGTAAACAGAGGTAAAAAATGAAAATGGTCATCTTCTCATTTACTTACCGAGAATTCACCTAATGTGTATTTAGCATGYGGAACACAAGCCGGGTCTTGTTCGTTGGGTTTGGTTCCAACAGGAAAACCCTGTATGAAACATTATACAATTAATAAAGCGAGCATGGATGCGCAATATGATTAATAATTGTTTGTTAATTTAAATGATTAATAGTCAATATGCAGCGACCATGATGAGGTATTCGACGCAACATCTCAGGTTCGCTAAAACAGAGAAGTCCTAAAACATTTTCTTCTTAGCAAAACCAAAAGCAGTTCTGCAGTAGTCTTCAAAGAACGTAGATTTTTTAAGTGCCTGCTTAAAAAGTGCTAGAACTATAACTCCCATTATTCTACTCACACACTGTTCAAGGGACGTAGAAAATAATTTCTAAGTCTACAAAATCGAATAAGACATTGATGTATATAATTACCTTCTTATTACAGTATATCAAAGCTGCGACGGCCATGGCGGTTGTTGTTCTTTCTCTGCCCGTCTCACAGTGGAAAACAAGTGCAGGACCATCCTCGTCTGAGTAGATTTCAGTTAGAGAATTCATGATGTTCATCAATCGATCCAAATCCTGTTAAGAAAAAGAAGAGAATTCAATAAGACAGTGAATACTAATCCACATCCACAGTGTATTGAAGGGAAAACACGTTCTGACAAGCTATTGAAGGGCTATCGGGATTTTCTGTGCGTCTGCAACATTCCCTCCTCTCAAGTGAAAAATTATCGCAGCCGCGCCCGACGACTTCGAAATCGAATAATGACGTCAGAGCGAGTTACAGCATGTTTACAGTGGGGATATATGAGAAGAAACAGTGGAAATTCGGAACATTCCTTCTTAACTTTTGCAGCTTTGATATACAGCTATATCAGAAAGCGTTAAATACTGAAGATAGCGTATTCCAAGATCGCAATGCATTGTTGATCATTACATAGCTGTTCAAAAGGAGTTTTCGTAGTTTCAGAGTGACTGTATCAGCTCCGTACAGTCAAGAACTTCAATATGAAGAAATTAAGTTTAGAATTGAAATTTTGTGACGCAGCAAACATGGACTTTAATAGCAACAATRCATCGCGGTCCTGGAATGCACAAAATATTTAATATCCGACTTTTAATGCAATAGCTTTATGCTTTTATGCTAATGATTGTTAATGCGCATTTTCTTTGATATGCAGTCATTTTGTCCCTCCCTCCTTTGAGACCATAATCCTTAGAATAAAAACAATATAATGTTTTGGTGTGACGTAATGCCATARGATAATTTCTCGAGGTCGCGTTGGTGAMATGCGCTGTTACCTTTTCCTCGATRGTTCTGTGTTGTGGTACGGGTAGCCTGTGGCATTCAAGTASCGATATCTTCTCCATYTGTTGCTTGTACATTTCTTTTATTGTCACAACATTTTTGAAGTCTTTGGKCACGTGACCTTCGTTTATGTCCATATAAATCTGGAAMAAGGTAGAATAAAGTAATTAGCACGAGAAAATAAGCTATCATTATATCAGAGCACTATATTTCCCAATCACTAGCAATAATATGGCTTAGCCTAGGCCACAAGTCTTCGGCCTGGACACAGCAATAATGAGAAGCACAAAACAAGAAAAATAATAAAATACAAAAAWCAACAAAAGTAAAAAAATATGAGTACCTGTACATTCTTAGTATGATTGTCGAGTGTTTCCTTTAATCTTGTTTCTTTACGCTGGAAATTCAATAAACATTGGTTACTAACCACTGTAATATAACCGGAATCACTGCTAATCTCGAGAGTGCGAGCCAAAAACAAAACATTTTACCACACTTGTGTAAATTCTGCGCGCTGATTGGCTGATTAGAGTGCGTCAGCACGCTGTGCGTACAGCATAACGTCTCGCGTGCGCTTAATTGAAAAAAAGAATGATTTTCACTAATTTTTAGACTCAAAATGTGTTTAAAAAAACTGACAAATTGCACACGGTTTTTCGTTATTTCTCTTAATGACAAACGTTTGACGTCATAAAATGTTCAAAACTTTGCAGTGAACCCACTCGCTGCGCTTGTTCGCTGCGCCTCTTTTGAAAAAAAAGAGTTTGTCAATAAGAGTAAATACCACTCAAAACCATGCACAATTTGTAAAATTGCTTGTCAAAAAGGCAAAGCATAACCGAGTTTTATTTAATCATAAATATTTTAATCATAAATATTTGCAAGCATGTTACCTCTAATTCAAACCACTGGAGACCCTTATATGGGATATGATCACAAAGATGCGAAAGCTGTTGAAGTAAAATACAAGGATATCAACACTCCATCACCATCACTTTACTTCGTAGCTGCCACCTTAATAAAAACAGCAGCGAGCTTTACGTCAATGCTAACATCATCTACTTTAAAAGGTTCAGTATCACCCTTGATGCTTTGCAGCCGTTTGTTTTTGTTTTGAAAGAAGTGGTTGTTTCTGACTGATCACTTTTATAATTTGAGTTCCCTATGTTGTAATTATTATTTCTTGCTTCATTTAAAGCTGAGCATCTTAATAAAAGCTATTTTAATCAACCTCTCAATAGCCTGTCTTCTTGTCTTATTAATAAAAAATTGTTCAACTTACTTCTCGTTGGCTGAACGTCTCACCATCACACTCCAACGCTACGTCTTCTCGCACATTAAAAATGACAACTTTTGGGTGAGAGTACTTTGGACCAGTCAACAGGTCGACTACTTTCGATAAACCCTAAAAACAAAATACCGTCCTGTTAGCATTGGATTCTCTATTCTAAGCATGGGCATGCTGTCACATTTGATACATGCGGTGCAGCTATTGTTAACATCTCGTAATATGTGTATTTTCCCAAAGGAAAATAGCACAACGATAAGCGTTTAGCCGTCAATCATTTGTTCCAAGAAAAAGCCAGTCTCTCTGATTTTAAACACCAAGGACTATGTGAAAATCTGCATACATTATGGATTGAAAATCGAATTTCCTAGTTTGAGACGATACCAGAAGACCCATGCAGAATCTGGGTCGTTCATGCATAGGAATTTTTTAACGAATCAAATCAAAGATCATTCGCTTCCARCCAGAGTCTTTGATTTTCTATTGGGAAGCTGAGAAGGATCTGGGTACGACAGAATGACAATATAAAGGAAGAATAAATAAGAATCGGGACTCATTCAAAGCCGTTTTTATCTGAAAGAAATATCATTTTTCGCGTCCCTAAATCTATCTATTCAAAAACAAAAAAACATTTTCTTGAGCGAATCATCTCCCTTTGTAAACGTGCTGATCCGCTATTGGTAAACAATTTGTCATACAAGTACCTCTCTCGTTGGCTGACTCATACCATACACAGGAAGSCCGGGCATTTTCCTAAAGTTGGAGACCTGTAAGTGCAAAATAAGCTAGATAAATAACCTCCATCTGTCAAAATTGTTCTTTTATTTGAAAACCATGATCATGAAGATTCATGAAGAATTAATAAAGACGCTCTTTTGAACCACAACGCTGACATGCTACAATCTGGAGACCCTTTCACATACCATAGATTCAACTAGGTGGTCGGCTTGCCGCGCCGCTTCTCACGAGTCGTTGCACTGTGCAATTTTCTCAACACTTTGTTGCAGCAGAAGTTGCGGAGGAATTAGATTTGCAGTGAAACAGCAATCGYCTCAAAACCTTTTTTTGCTGCTACTAGAGCTCTTGCTACTGGGAAGGACAGGAATCCCAACAAAAGGGTAGGTCGCGAAGGAGAATAAAGTTTAACTAGGGTCAGCGAGTTATGTTAAGCTCATCTCGAATGTCCCAGCTTATTTCGGACAAAAATGTATTGGTTGCATGCTCCCGGTGAAAATTGCACATTGTATTAGGTGTGTAATTTTATTCGCAAATTGTGTGTTAATGAAGCCGTTGCGAGACAAATTGCTGAGAATATTGCACAACGAAGCCTTGCAGCCATGGAGAAGCTCTTTCGCTTAGCTCGAACGGAAAAATGAGAAAAGGATTCGATTGCACGCCTGGAGACAAGATAAGACAGATTTTTATAAAAAAAGCAATATAATTATAATACCTGGACTTCTCTCTGTGTGCTCAGAACATCGATACCCAGATACTCATCGGCAACCTAACAATTTTAACAACAATAGTTCATCATCTAAAGGGTCAGTATAAGGCAGCTCTTTAGATCTTTTAGGGTGCTTTCCATTTAGCTAGAACTGGCCGGCCAGTCCGCTCTATTTAGAGGTATATTATGCTTTTTGTCAACATTTTTCAGTCATTTCGAGGTTTTCTATAGAATAATGGATAGAAATTGAAAATTTGAATTTCCCGACTAAATAGGAATGACATATAATGACATTTTCTCTGGGTCTGGCCAGCCAGTTCTGACAAATGGAAAGCGCCCTTTGTCTCCTTCGACCTTTTGTCGGTCTTCCTGTCCCTCCCAAAAGAAAAGGCACAGGAAGCCCGTCAAATGGTGAGGCTGCGAAAAAGACTAT